TTAGTTTCCTGCGAAAAAAGACAAATGGGGCGATCGTGTTCCCACCTTATACCAAAAGTCCTCAACGCCCGAATCTGGAAGTGTTTGTGGAGACGTGCAGAAAATCGCGTTTAGTTTCCTGCGAAAAAAGACAAATGGGGCGATCGTGTTCCCACCTTATACCAAAAGTCCTCAACGCCCGAATCTGGAAGTGTTTGTGGAGACGTGCAGAAAATCGCGTTTAGTTTCCTGCGAAAAAAGACAAATGGGGCGATCGTGTTCCCACCTTATACCAAAAGTCCTCAACGCCCGAATCTGGAAGTGTTTGTGGAGACGTGCAGAAAATCGCGTTTAGTTTCCTGCGAAAAAAGACAAATGGGGCGATCGTGTTCCCACCTTATACCAAAAGTCCTCAACGCCCGAATCTGGAAGTGTTTGTGGAGACGTGCAGAAAATCGCGTTTAGTTTCCTGCGAAAAAAGACAAATGGGGCGATCGTGTTCCCACCTTATACCAAAAGTCCTCAACGCCCGAATCTGGAAGTGTTTGTGGAGACGTGCAGAAAATCGCGTTTAGTTTCCTGCGAAAAAAGACAAATGGGGCGATCGTGTTCCCACCTTATACCAAAAGTCCTCAACGCCCGAATCTGGAAGTGTTTGTGGAGACGTGCAGAAAATCGCGTTTAGTTTCCTGCGAAAAAAGACAAATGGGGCGATCGTGTTCCCACCTTATACCAAAAGTCCTCAACGCCCGAATCTGGAAGTGTTTGTGGAGACGTGCAGAAAATCGCGTTTAGTTTCCTGCGAAAAAAGACAAATGGGGCGATCGTGTTCCCACCTTATACCAAAAGTCCTCAACGCCCGAATCTGGAAGTGTTTGTGGAGACGTGCAGAAAATCGCGTTTAGTTTCCTGCGAAAAAAGACAAATGGGGCGATCGTGTTCCCACCTTATACCAAAAGTCCTCAACGCCCGAATCTGGAAGTGTTTGTGGAGACGTGCAGAAAATCGCGTTTAGTTTCCTGCGAAAAAAGACAAATGGGGCGATCGTGTTCCCACCTTATACCAAAAGTCCTCAACGCCCGAATCTGGAAGTGTTTGTGGAGACGTGCAGAAAATCGCGTTTAGTTTCCTGCGAAAAAAGACAAATGGGGCGATCGTGTTCCCACCTTATACCAAAAGTCCTCAACGCCCGAATCTGGAAGTGTTTGTGGAGACGTGCAGAAAATCGCGTTTAGTTTCCTGCGAAAAAAGACAAATGGGGCGATCGTGTTCCCACCTTATACCAAAAGTCCTCAACGCCCGAATCTGGAAGTGTTTGTGGAGACGTGCAGAAAATCGCGTTTAGTTTCCTGCGAAAAAAGACAAATGGGGCGATCGTGTTCCCACCTTATACCAAAAGTCCTCAACGCCCGAATCTGGAAGTGTTTGTGGAGACGTGCAGAAAATCGCGTTTAGTTTCCTGCGAAAAAAGACAAATGGGGCGATCGTGTTCCCACCTTATACCAAAAGTCCTCAACGCCCGAATCTGGAAGTGTTTGTGGAGACGTGCAGAAAATCGCGTTTAGTTTCCTGCGAAAAAAGACAAATGGGGCGATCGTGTTCCCACCTTATACCAAAAGTCCTCAACGCCCGAATCTGGAAGTGTTTGTGGAGACGTGCAGAAAATCGCGTTTAGTTTCCTGCGAAAAAAGACAAATGGGGCGATCGTGTTCCCACCTTATACCAAAAGTCCTCAACGCCCGAATCTGGAAGTGTTTGTGGAGACGTGCAGAAAATCGCGTTTAGTTTCCTGCGAAAAAAGACAAATGGGGCGATCGTGTTCCCACCTTATACCAAAAGTCCTCAACGCCCGAATCTGGAAGTGTTTGTGGAGACGTGCAGAAAATCGCGTTTAGTTTCCTGCGAAAAAAGACAAATGGGGCGATCGTGTTCCCACCTTATACCAAAAGTCCTCAACGCCCGAATCTGGAAGTGTTTGTGGAGACGTGCAGAAAATCGCGTTTAGTTTCCTGCGAAAAAAGACAAATGGGGCGATCGTGTTCCCACCTTATACCAAAAGTCCTCAACGCCCGAATCTGGAAGTGTTTGTGGAGACGTGCAGAAAATCGCGTTTAGTTTCCTGCGAAAAAAGACAAATGGGGCGATCGTGTTCCCACCTTATACCAAAAGTCCTCAACGCCCGAATCTGGAAGTGTTTGTGGAGACGTGCAGAAAATCGCGTTTAGTTTCCTGCGAAAAAAGACAAATGGGGCGATCGTGTTCCCACCTTATACCAAAAGTCCTCAACGCCCGAATCTGGAAGTGTTTGTGGAGACGTGCAGAAAATCGCGTTTAGTTTCCTGCGAAAAAAGACAAATGGGGCGATCGTGTTCCCACCTTATACCAAAAGTCCTCAACGCCCGAATCTGGAAGTGTTTGTGGAGACGTGCAGAAAATCGCGTTTAGTTTCCTGCGAAAAAAGACAAATGGGGCGATCGTGTTCCCACCTTATACCAAAAGTCCTCAACGCCCGAATCTGGAAGTGTTTGTGGAGACGTGCAGAAAATCGCGTTTAGTTTCCTGCGAAAAAAGACAAATGGGGCGATCGTGTTCCCACCTTATACCAAAAGTCCTCAACGCCCGAATCTGGAAGTGTTTGTGGAGACGTGCAGAAAATCGCGTTTAGTTTCCTGCGAAAAAAGACAAATGGGGCGATCGTGTTCCCACCTTATACCAAAAGTCCTCAACGCCCGAATCTGGAAGTGTTTGTGGAGACGTGCAGAAAATCGCGTTTAGTTTCCTGCGAAAAAAGACAAATGGGGCGATCGTGTTCCCACCTTATACCAAAAGTCCTCAACGCCCGAATCTGGAAGTGTTTGTGGAGACGTGCAGAAAATCGCGTTTAGTTTCCTGCGAAAAAAGACAAATGGGGCGATCGTGTTCCCACCTTATACCAAAAGTCCTCAACGCCCGAATCTGGAAGTGTTTGTGGAGACGTGCAGAAAATCGCGTTTAGTTTCCTGCGAAAAAAGACAAATGGGGCGATCGTGTTCCCACCTTATACCAAAAGTCCTCAACGCCCGAATCTGGAAGTGTTTGTGGAGACGTGCAGAAAATCGCGTTTAGTTTCCTGCGAAAAAAGACAAATGGGGCGATCGTGTTCCCACCTTATACCAAAAGTCCTCAACGCCCGAATCTGGAAGTGTTTGTGGAGACGTGCAGAAAATCGCGTTTAGTTTCCTGCGAAAAAAGACAAATGGGGCGATCGTGTTCCCACCTTATACCAAAAGTCCTCAACGCCCGAATCTGGAAGTGTTTGTGGAGACGTGCAGAAAATCGCGTTTAGTTTCCTGCGAAAAAAGACAAATGGGGCGATCGTGTTCCCACCTTATACCAAAAGTCCTCAACGCCCGAATCTGGAAGTGTTTGTGGAGACGTGCAGAAAATCGCGTTTAGTTTCCTGCGAAAAAAGACAAATGGGGCGATCGTGTTCCCACCTTATACCAAAAGTCCTCAACGCCCGAATCTGGAAGTGTTTGTGGAGACGTGCAGAAAATCGCGTTTAGTTTCCTGCGAAAAAAGACAAATGGGGCGATCGTGTTCCCACCTTATACCAAAAGTCCTCAACGCCCGAATCTGGAAGTGTTTGTGGAGACGTGCAGAAAATCGCGTTTAGTTTCCTGCGAAAAAAGACAAATGGGGCGATCGTGTTCCCACCTTATACCAAAAGTCCTCAACGCCCGAATCTGGAAGTGTTTGTGGAGACGTGCAGAAAATCGCGTTTAGTTTCCTGCGAAAAAAGACAAATGGGGCGATCGTGTTCCCACCTTATACCAAAAGTCCTCAACGCCCGAATCTGGAAGTGTTTGTGGAGACGTGCAGAAAATCGCGTTTAGTTTCCTGCGAAAAAAGACAAATGGGGCGATCGTGTTCCCACCTTATACCAAAAGTCCTCAACGCCCGAATCTGGAAGTGTTTGTGGAGACGTGCAGAAAATCGCGTTTAGTTTCCTGCGAAAAAAGACAAATGGGGCGATCGTGTTCCCACCTTATACCAAAAGTCCTCAACGCCCGAATCTGGAAGTGTTTGTGGAGACGTGCAGAAAATCGCGTTTAGTTTCCTCAACCGCACATAACCACAAACACGTCCAGATTCGGGCGTTGAGGAAACTCAACGCTGCTAGTGGGACTTGGGCCCCCGGAACCAAAAGACTACGACAAAAGCCGCCTTCCGCCCCCCCCCCCCATTCGCTGATTGGTCATATCTCCTTGCTCCCCATCACCCGCGGGATGACCAGAAACGCATCCTACTGCCGCCGTCCCTCACGTGATACTTACATTGACTTCCCGACATCGGCAATTACCCACAGAATTAATATTTTTCGCTATCGTAAATGAGTGAGGAGTATTTCCCGCCACTTGAACAAATACACTTTATGGGCATTTCGCCCAGTCCTTATCCTCCTGCCATTCCTCATACTCCTCCGGAAGTGGGTTTACGCAGAATGGGCATTGGGAGACACGAAAGGGGGTTCAGACGAGAGAGGGACGGACGACAGACGAGTAGGCCGCTCACACGAGCGTAGGGGCAGATGATGATCTTGGGAAAGCTGGCTTTAAGGNGGGGAGGTCGGCACAAAGAGAGAGAGAGAGAGAGAGAGAGAGAGAGAGAGAGAGAGAGAGAGAGAGAGAGAGAGAGAGAGAGAGAGAGAGAGAGACGCACGGACGGATGGACGCACGCACGGATGCATGGACGGACGCACGAACACACAGACCAATCAATATATATGTTTTTTTAGAATTAGTAAGTAAAGCTATTCGAAAAAATCATATATACATTGCTCAATTTGTGAAATATCTATCTTATGATTCTTATCTCTATTCTAATAATTTCTTCCATTTCTGACATGGACAGACAGTGTCAGACACACAAACACACAGACAGAGAGAGAGAGAGAGAGAGAGAGAGAGAGAGAGAGAGAGAGAGAGAGAGAGAGAGAATGTTTGGGAATCTTAGTGCTATTTTCCCGATAATGTTCACACCTGCCAAGCGCAATGTCAATTTCTGCACGCAGGCACAAAAGCTCACTGTCTGACGATGCTGCGCCAGGCCACAGTGCTGCAGACTCAGCCTGTTGCGCCTCTTGAAGCACTTTCTCGGCTTCAGCTGCACATAATACACGCGCAAAGAAAAAGAAGGTTGTCACGATAAACCATTCATTATTGTCACCCCGTTCTTCTTCCTTTTGACCAAGGCGAAAAAGTCCGAAAACTGAAATCCATTGAACTTATCTTGCCCCGAATGCTTGGATTCACAAATGGCCACCCAAGGAGAGATACAGGGCATCATCATGAGGACTCTTTAGGGCATCCACGGAGCTGCTGCTGACTCGCCGGTGACTTGCTGCTGTGTGGTTTTCTTTCCAGATGGTAGACATGGTCTCTTGCCTCTGGAGAGACGCTGATAGCTCATGTCCTGGATTATGCATGGCCTATGTTTTTAAAAATGTGGTGTCCTGATTTGTCTGTGCCCTATCCTGTGTGCACAATATGTGCCTGTGGAGGTAGATGATCTAACTCTCCCGATAATATCATTTGAAAATTGAAATCCTTTACTTGTATCTATCTATCTATCTATTAAGCCACCACTCCATCCGGTTCTGTTCGACAAAACAAAATTTGCATTTCCCCGAGCCTATAATCTACAGTGCGGCGGTGACGAAAAATGATTGTGGTACCCTTCCCCACCGAACCTCGCAGTGTAGATTTTGGCCTGGTACTAGAAGACAAGAAAAATGAGCAGTGCAGGTGCTGTTGGAGTGGTGGTTTGAGCTCTCACATACTTGCCAGGAGATGAATCGAAGACTTTCGCTGCATAAAAAAATGTTGAGGGAGAAAACATTCCATCTTACGAGCTCAAAAGGAGCACGATTTGTTTCTACTAAACAAGAAATAAAAAAACAGAATGAATGACGGAAAACTTCCGAAAAAGGGCAAAATACCGAAAACCATATCTGTTTCTAACATCACAGTTTAAACCACCACCACTACCTCTCGCAGGCAAACTTTTGCAATGAATTGTTGGTGTTTTCACCCACATTCTTCAGGCGCTCGGCCTCTTGGACCTATTCCGCAGGTGATGCCAGCAAAAAAGAAAAAACGAAGAGTGTCGTGCTGGTTTGTTCTGGACTTGGTGGGCAGCAGAAACCGGCCACGGGAAGAGGAAGCTCAAGCCTCAAAGGTAGTGTTGGGTGTTGGTTTTTAAACATGTGTTTATGCTGCTCAAGTGAATGTCCAGCACTTTGCCCATACCTAGACGGCGAAGTTGCAGAAGAGCTTTCACTCTGATCTTCCACACATCCATGGTCAGATCAGCGCCCGCCTGTATCGCCATTTCTGCCTGCCTAAGTGCTTCATCCCAATCCTGGTTGGCAGTGGCTGTGCCAGCCTTTGAAATGTGTTCCTGCAGAGTGCCCACTTTTCCCGTGTCGCTTCTCTCTGCCCCAAGCTCTTCACTCTTGTGCAGGTGCCACATCGCCTCATCCAATTTGCCAAACCGGGTAAGCAATCCCCCCAGCCGTTGATGCGCTCTCGCAAAGTTGGGGTCCAACTGAATGGCCAACTCACATTCCTTAACTGCCTGCTCATCAGCACCAATAGCCCAGCCCCACCAACCGCCATCACCTCCTCCCTCCTTCCATCCCTACCCCAACCCCCCCACCTCCTCCCTCCCCCAACCTCCTCTACCACCATTCCTCCCAGATGTGTATAAGAGACAGGGCGTGGACAGAGGCGGGGAAGGGTGCGGGGAAGGGGTCGGGGGTGGAGAAGCCTGGGGCGAGCGGAGAAGCCGGGGCGGGGGGGATCAGAGAGAGAAACGTGGCTAGCGCATAAGAGAGTGGAACACACGGGTGTCAGCGATTTTAGCGACGAACCTGGACACGTGTCGACCTGATAGCCGCCGCGGACGACGTCGAGGCGATACAGTGAGCAGTTACCACCTGGCGAAGCGAAGCTGCAGCTGCGGCCGCCATCTTTATATAGGCCGTCTCGAGCAACCAGCTATGGCGTTCCCTATGCCAACCGGCAGATTGTGTGCGAGCTAGAGAGAAGCCTGGCCACTAGGGGCGAGTGTCTACAAACACCAATTTCTAGACAACTCGAAAACACCGACTTCCGACGGGCGCTTTCTTTCTTCGTTTTCCTTTTTCGGCGACGGGCGCTTTCTGGCCCTCGCCGACCACTAACCAAATCTGAAAGAGAGACATTTGTCGGGTGTACCTTTCTTTTTTTTTGTAACATTTTCGAAATGCCCCTCCGACTTGCATTTATTTGCGGTATGCCCCTCCGACGGCCGACTTACCCTGTCGTACCCCTAGGGCCTCTCAAGTTTCTTGCTGGCCCCTGTCAGTTAGGGGTGCAACTTCCAGCATGCCCGTGTAGCCACTTGTGGCACTCACGGCCGTTCCCCTGGCCCTGGGAGGGGAGCTACCGGGGCATACTGGAAGTTTGGAACTGGTACTGTCAGGGGCATGTTGAACATATTTCAGGCCCAAACGACGCCAGGGTTTTTCGGAAACTTCATCGTTGTCAGAGTGCGTGACAGGGTAAGTTGGCCCTAAGAAGGGTATACCGCAAATAAATGGAAGTCGGAGGGGCATCTTGAAAATTTTCCTCTTTTTTTTTTTTTTGCCAGCAGAAATTCAGACTAACCAGGGGTATCTGTTTTGATCAGTTTAATATCTGATCCGTGGTCCATCGGACCATAATTTAAAAAAAAAAAAAAAAAAAAAAAGGTCGGGAACTTCACAATTCGACCCGGAGGTATCCTGGCAGCACTAGCCAGTTTAGCTTACGAGCATTTGCTCGCTCAAGTCCCGAAGAAACATTGCTGAGTCAGGGAGGCCAGGAAATCTAGGAACAGAAAACGCCAATTCAAGGCAGTTATCATGAAATCTTAGCCTCGAAATTAAAGGAAGCCACAGATCTAGGAACAAAAAACGTCAATTCAAGGCAGTCGTCCATAAATTATAGCCTCGGAATTAAAGGAAGCCACAAACCTACAAAACTGAAGAAACCATAAACCACCAAACAAATCATGCCACAGGCCAATACAAAGCCAAACGAACCAAAGTTCTTAGAGAAATTGCTACCCCCTAACCTAAGTCAGCCTAGGTCTACCCAAAGCATAGTACTAGTCCGAAATTACCCCCTATCTACCCATCCAAGAGGGTTAGCCTAACCACTACTAAGTCCTAGGCAGTAACCTGTTTAAAACGACAGGAGTGCGCTCTCTCCACATATCGAAAACCACTTGTATTCCTCTTGCGGAAACACGGAACCGAGTGCCCAGGTTCGTGGTCCTACCTACTCATCCCAAAACCAATTATCTAACACAAGCTCGTCGTTGTCGAGCGTATCGGTCCAGCACAGGGCGGGACCCTCCGGGTCGTGTCACGCAGGAATTGATCTACCTCGTCGCGATACACATGAAGCTTCTGCAAGCCGCTCCGACCGATGGCGCCAGCCATACCTCTCGCGAGCCCCTACGACAAGATAGGGTCAACGCGAGGTACAACTTACCTCCACCTGCGGGAGTTATCACCTCCCTTCGGTGGGAGTACCCCCAACGAGCTACCAGTCCACAGTACGACAGCTAATCAGTTGCAATTGCAGAGATGGACCAACCGAGGACGTTTTCTCGTACGTTGTAGCATAGGAGGTACGCGCGGTCTCACACCTCTATCTGACCCGCACGCGAACCGACGCAATAGGGGTTGAAGTCTCGAGCGCGACTAGAATGCATCCCACTCAAAACACGTTAGCCACACTTAAAAAATATAAATAAAACACACACACACACATAGCGATAAAAAAAAAAAAAAAAAACCATACAAATAATCCTAGTCCCTTCAGTAGTCATCCCAGAACCTTCCGATGCGGAAAATCGGATAGGCGTCTCGCACGAGACTTAGTATAAAACCGCGCGGCCGCATAGCTTTCTCATATCGACCAGCAATGCAAGCAATCACAACGATGGCGTACTACGTAGTACCCATAATCTTGCGATCCTCGCTAATCTCGAGGGTCGCATTCGACACTTAAGTGTCAGTTGACACGCGCCTTGAGGGGTCAATCTCTCGACGCTAGACAATCGGCAAGTGCGGTTGAGAGCCACACCCTTGTGTGCACCCTGCAGAGAGTGGGTGGTATACAGGTTCATACATGTGGTGACAGTCGTCTTTCGAGACCTTGGAGGCAAGCTCATCATCCAGGGCAACTATAAAAATTAACAAGCAATATCAATCACAAAAATAATCAATCATCACGATTACCAATATATCAAATCAGAACTCGAGATAAAAATAAAGAAAGGGAAACATAAACTCATTAGGTATGTAGATCGTGCGACACATGGTTGTCATTATTACTGCCTCCAAAGTAAAGCTCGTACACAGGCTCCATGACAGTGACCTGTATAAAACACAACACATACGAATGTCACACTGTCATACACCAATGTAGTCAACTTTACGGTTCCTTGTAAATCACACCATGCCTCACATAATCAAGCCTCATTCATTGTCAAACTTTCCATAAAATCTCATCAATTCTTTATAATGACCATTAAAAGAAATTCGGTTAAAAACCTCAAAGAAACATATCAAAGTTTAGGATTAAGGCATCAAGTTAAGGTACACGTATAAGCAAAGTTGTGTCGTGCGCCAACAAGTCGGCGATCACCCTACCGATCTATTATCAGTGATAACGGAAGATGATCATCGTAGGATCAAGCTGAAACTAGTTCAATCCCAAATCGAATCAATCAACTAAGGACCTGTAAGACAAGACAGACCAATTTTCAAGCTAAGCTTATAAGTATATGGAGGGTTAATCTTCATACCACATTCTCTTAAAAAAAAATCATCATGATAATTAAACACACATCTACTTCTAAGCAAGTGTCAAAAAAAAAGGTAGATTCTGATAGAATCTCCCCCATGCAGAGTGGATTGTCAGAATTACCAGTTGTCAAAATATAATCTAACTTCTTTAAACTAAGAAAATTTCGGCAGCGCTTTAAAATTATCCGTAGGAAAAGTGTCTTTTATCCGTAAGAAAAGTCAGACATAAGCAATACAACCTTTCTTCCATCCTACCCAAATGCATTATTTTACTTAACTCCGAATAATGTCGTGAAAGTCAAACTGAAAGTCAAAGTAGGGATGCACGCAATCTACTCCGTCAAAGTGTAACAAAGAATACAGATAGAGGTTATAACTGCGTTTATAGAAGGAAGCGATAGTTACCACTCAGTTCCATGCCTCTAGAACTCCTCCTGAGTTCCGGTAGAGCTCCCACAATCGGTGGGTAGACTCTCCATAGAGTCTTGATGCGGTCCTACGGGTTGCAATCCCGCTTACCGCCTTCCTCTCTTAACAGGATTAGACTTAGAGTAAGAAAGGCAGAGGAGGGGTTTCAGACTCTTGAGATACAAGGAAGGGACTGACTCAACTCGTCGGAGAGGGCCTTGTTACCTTCATGCGTATGAGGGTCCCGCAATGGCGATCAAATACGCAGTAATACCGCCAAACTGAAGTCAAAGCGCCGAATGTTGACCTCCTAACGGTCCTCCAAACTGCAACAATGCCCCCCTCCCCCCCCCTTTTCCTTACAAGCCTAATTACCCTTTAAAGTCACCACGCTTTAACCTCCGATCAGACTGTTGCTACGCAAGCCATGAAAAAATTATGCTCAAATAGAGCACACCCCCTGTGCTTTATTTGAAATGCAAGCAAAATTCAGCAAAACTCAATTGAAAATTGCGCGCACAACAACTTTGCGCACCAGTTTGATTTTTGCAGCAAACGCATAAAGCCAATTGTAGTAAGTTAAAACAACGAACTCTTTGAGATGCACGGCAAGTGCACTACATAAGCGCAGCGAACCCAGCACGACACAACCCGAGTTCAGTAGAACTTTAACAAAAATACTACACTCATAACAATCGAGGGACAACTTGAAGCGCATCAGCTAACCCGGAAGTCGGCAATAGCTCCTTCCTTCGGCTATGTGCCCAGACACCGATTACACAACTATTTCGGAGTTGACCGGTTGTAGGTTCCCGCTGCAGCAACCAAGACTCACACAGTTGTTGGTAAGGAAATAACAGCGATGGTGCTCGTAGGTGTCGAGTATTCAGATCAATGTAAAGGTCAGATACGTATTCATAACAGCTCACATTCAGACTCGAAATCAAAATTAAATGAGTTTTTAATCTTTTTATTTCTTTTGCAGACGTAGCATGTAGGTCCTACCACTCTTTCGCTAACCCTCTCTCATACACCATTCTCTCCCAACCTTGATCGTCTCCCCTTCCTGCCTGTTTCTCTTCATACTTGCTCTGCACCCTCATCCTCCATGTCTCCTCCCTTGTTACCTTCTCTTCTCTCTCAGGATCTGGTTGGAATCCCTACCAGGTGAACCCTAAACGAAATTTATACACGTAGTACAAACAAGGGCTTAGATCAACGAAGTGAGCGGCGAAGCTGTCTTGGGGAAATCAGTATCGAGAGGAAGACAGTCATAATATTGTGCAACCATGTGACCAGGCGCACCTTAATGACAACAACAAAGAGAATCAACACGGCCAACTTCGGCCGTCAAAAGTATCGAGCTGAAGGAAATGACCGGCAGAACCACAAGGACGACAGTGATCACGAGAACAATCGTTGCGCCCTGCACCTGGTGATGGCAAGCTTCAACTGCAGACCTCACACCAGCGCTCACCTGATGACCGAAGCAGACATGTATCTTCCGCTAGAACACGAAAAGATACATCTGCTATACCAAAGTCGTGCGCGTAGAGGTTAATTTCGTGGAAATCATGAGCAAAATCGAATAAATCTTCCGTGGAAACATAGAAATGTACATTGCAGCCTGCTACGCAAGCAGAGAAATACAGAGGCGCTTCTTCCATCGATCGGTTGGGCAATGCATCGGCTCGCAGGTAAGTCTCCAACCCCGCGGTTGGCCACACGCTACTGCAATCGATTTGATGGGCAAAATCGAATGAATCTTTCGGGGGAACATTTAAAAATACATTGCAGCTTCAAAACTTTTTTAAAACGTTTC